TCTAATTTATTATTCTTTTGTTTTATAGCTGAATACTTCTGTAAAGAGAAACTTCTTTTTCATCACCTATTTAGTTACCCTGAGGTGCAGTTCATATAGGAAAGACAAAATAAGAGTTCCCTAGAATCCTCCAAAAGCTACCGTATTATTAATAGCTTCCTATTGCTGCTGCAACAAATTACCATAAACTTGGTGGCTTAACAGTAAAAATTTGTTACGGTTCTGGAAGTCAGAAGTCTGAAATGGGTCTCACTGGGGTGAAATCCAGGTGTTGGCAGGGCTGCATTCCTCCTGAAGGTTCTAGCGTAGAATCTGCTTCTTTGCCTTTTCCAGCTGCTGGAGGCTGCCTGATTTCTAAACCTGTGGCCCCTTTGCATCCTCAAAGCCTGTGGTGGCTGGGGGAGCCTTTTTCCTGCTTCCCTCTTCCACTTTTAAGGATCTTTGTGGTTTTATTGGGCCCACCTGGATAATTCAAGCTGTTCTCTATTTTAAGGACAGCTGATTAGCAACCTTAATTCCATCTGTAACCTTTGTTCCCTTTTGCCATTTGGTGATTAAAATGTGAACATCTTTGGGCGCTGTTATTCTTCTGTCAGAGTGACCAAAGGTGTTTTTTTTTTTTTATACTATCATTATGAATTCATAGATTTTAACATTTTGATATATTTTAACTCATTGTTATGCTTATTATAATTCTAATTGTCCTGTCTTTGGACAGTGGAAAAGTTTATTCTAGTTGATTCCTGAGTTCTTTGGACATGAACACTGTAGTTGTTGATAGCTTCCTTCCTTTCTGATAGGAAAAGATGTCTGCACTCCTACTATACCTTCCTGCCCCAAGTCTGCAGTCATCCCTTTCTCTGAGGAGGCAAACTTCAGTGAGCATCAGAATTACCTGGAGGGCTTGTCAAAGCACTGGTTGATGGGCCCTACCCACCTTTTGAGTCTCTCATTTAATAGGTCTAGTATCAGGTGACACCGATTATGCTGTTCTAGGGACTACACTTTGAGAAGAACTGCTTTAAAAACCCTGTTCTTTTTGATAGGAAATGCTATTTAGAAGCTATAGTCTGGATACCAAAGAGGACACAGATTTTTTTCAGTGGAAGTAACAGAAACTATGAGTTCATATTGATATTTCAAATTCAGATTTATAATTACACATTTTATCCTCTTATGTATATTATGCTTAAAGTCTTGGTTCTTAGGACATTAATAATTACTTATTTAATATATATTATATGTACACACAGTTTCAGAGTAACAATACCAATATTCTTACTTAGAACATGATTACTGAAAACAGTTTAAGATTTTTTGGTCTCTTTTGTCTGTAGAGAAATATCCCACAAGGGATGTACAAATTATTTTGCTTTAAAGTTATTGAAATAATTCCTCTCAATCAACTCATTACAGTTAGATTTATTTGTTTGTCTGTTTGCTCCGTTTTCAGTTTTAGGGGATTTTTATTTTAAGATAAATATGTAAACATTTAATGATTCCACTGTCATATCTGTAAAATGAGTTCTAGTCTATATCTCTGTCTCTTCTACCTTGTTCTCTCTTATGCCTTATAGACAATCATTTAATTTGTGTTATGGTTAAATAAATGGCATTATGCTATCCATACTTATTTCTTTTGGATACGCTCCCCACCTCCCCTTAACAATATATTCTGAAGATTATTTAAGGGCAGTATATTTAGAGAGTCATCTTTTCTTTTATAGTTTAGGAGTGCTCCATTATAAGAATGTACCATAGTTTATTCCTCTATTAGTGGACATTTGGGTTGTTTACAACCTTTTACTATTATGAATAGTGCTTCAGTATTACAAATAGTACATATTTTAAGGTAGTCAGAATCATAGTGTATACTTTTTCTCCTGTTTTTTTCTTAATGTTATAACATGAACATTTTCCATCTTATTATAAATTCTTTGTAAATGGTATTTAAGACAATTTTTTTTTCTGATTATGAAAGTGGTACAAGATTTTGGAAACTTAGAAAAATAAAAAAGTAAAAATCAACTGAAAAGTCACTCATAATCCTTCTATTTAGATATACTGTTATTTTTGGATGTGTTACCGCATAGCCTTACAACAGTTATGTAAACATTTAGAAAACAAGCCATATCGTATTATATATACAATTTGGTATCCAGGTTTGTTTTTACTTATAATTGTGCTTTTTAAAAATACTGTACTCTTTATAATTATTTCTCTATCGTTGGCTATCTAGTTTCTTTTTGTTTTTTTAGCATTGTAAATAATGTTGTGATAAATATCTGTGCATAGAGCTCTATTCAAATTTCAGATTATTCTTAAAGTTGGCTTTTGTAAGACTTCAAATGAGAAGGAAGTACACATTTGTTGAATGCATCTATTATCTTGCTTTTATAGCAGTAATTTAGCAAGTCAAACACGTAAGAGATTGTCACCTTGAAATTTTTGTCAAGTAAAGTCCATTTTCCCTTTTTCTCCTGGTAGGACCTTAGAAATGAAGTTGAAAAATTACGCAATGAAGTTAATGAAAAAGAGAAAGCAGTGGAGAATCGGTATAAGAGTCTTTTGAATGAGAGCAATAAAAAATTGCACAGTCAAGAGCAACTGATCAAACATCTAACAGAAAGTGCCAATCAAAAGGACTTGTTGCTTCAGGTACCGTAACTTTTTTTCTTTTGTATTTAAGTCTTTTGAGTTAGCACGGATTATTTTTGATTTTTTTAAACTCTTTTGTAGGAACATTTATGGTTAAAGTTGTCATTGCAATATTTTAGAACACTTTAGAGCTTTCCTTATGTCATTTGAGCTTCAGTCATCAGAGAAGTAAGTTTGGAGAAACAGAAGCTCAGAGAAGGGATTAACTTATCCTGGGTCATATGACTAGTAAATGGCAGAGCCTGGGTTCAGGCCCTGGCCTGTTGCGCCGTAGTGCCCAGCCCATTTCACTGAGGTACTTCTACTGCGAGTACTTTCATCGAGTACTTGTGCTATGTCCATTCTTCCTCTGTACTTCTCCTCTAACTGTTCCTTTTTGTCTTGGAACACCCTTCTTGTTGGATCATGGCAGTGAATTTTTGAGATTCAACTCAGACTTACAGGTACCATGCTGGATTGAACATGGCTATTTAACTCTACTTCATACTGAAACCTCATTAAAATAACAGTGAAGGAATAAAAAGGTATAAACCTACAAGGACTAACTTGGAGAATGGGAGCAGGTACAACAGCAGGTGTGAGTTGGATATTTTGGATAAGTGGATGGGCAGGTGGTAACAGTATAGGATTCAGCTTTCTCCACTCTGCTGTGTGCCTTTGGGATGAAAAGCCAACAAGAAGCAAGCTGATTTATGCTGCAGAACCCCAGGCTCGGCAGGCATTGGATGTACCTTACCTGGTACCTTTGAAAACAAGAGACTTGGCTGACATTCTTAGCAGTTGTAGGTGATCCTCTTCTCACCAGTAGAAGATTTCTGGAGACATTAAACCAGAGAGGCTCTGGCCTGGAGGTCACCAGATGCAACCGAAAGCAGAAGTGGATAGCTTGACTGAAAATGGTGGGGAGGGGAAGTGTGCATCCCCAGCAGTGAGACTCCTCGGAGGGGAGGAAAGACTGAAAGGTGCTAACGTTTGGGGGTCCTCCAAAAAATCGGCCAGGTCTCCACCTGAGCATCTCACAGTGAGGCCACCTTTCACATGTCCTTTCCACACTCACGGAGCTTCTGAGCACTTTTAACCCTTAAAAGCAAATAGATGGCTTGAGTTCATCAAATGGGAGAAAAGTATTTAAGAGGAAGACAAAGGCCAAAACAGAACAAAGGTACATAGAAGAAATGGAAACAATGCAAGTAGGAGAAGACTAGACAGCTTTTAAAAGACCAAAAAATTCAACACTGTACCACCTTTCCATAGGAAATAAGATCAGGACTGATAAAAAAGATATTTGGAAAGAGGAATGACCTATTGGAAATTGAAAGTATGATCACAGATATAAAAAGTTTAATAGAAAAATTAGAAAAGGTGGAAGATAAAATTGAGTAAGTCTTCCAGAAAATAGAATTAAACAGATAAAAATTTAGAAAAATGGGAGGGAAAAGATAAGAAAATTAGAGGCTTGATTCAGGAGGTTCAAGATATGACTAACTGGAGTTCCAGAAAGCCAGAACAGGCAAAGGAGAGGGAAGGAACATTTCAAAGTAACAGGAAAAAATTTCCCAGAATGGAAGGATAGCTGTTTCTACATTGAAAGGGCCTACTCTGTTTCTAGCACAAAGAATGAAAAAAGACCCATTCCCCAAGGCATGTCATTGTGAAATTTCAGAACACAGGGATAAAGAGGATTGAAAACCTTCTACAGAGAGGAAAATCCAGGTCACATACAAAGGACCCAGACCTGGAATGACATCAGAATTCTCAGCAACACTGGAAATCAGAAGATCAGAAGAGCAATGCTTTCAGATTTTGAGGAAAAGTGATTTCAACTCCAGCATTCTGTACTCAGCCAAGCTGTCAGTAAGTGTGAGGGCAGACTAAAGGCATTTTCAGACATTTGGTGCCTAAAATCATCAGCCTCCTATGTGCTCTTTGTAGGAAGCTCTTGGAGGATGACTCCATATAAATGAGGGAATAATCAAAAGAGAGAGACATGGGATCCAGAAAGTATTCACCTGGGATGGGGTGAAGGGAAGCCCCGGGGTGACAGCTGAGCCGCTTAGGTAGAGAGCCCAGATTTGAGCCATTGAGGGAGAGTTTCAGTCGTGATCTCCAAGAAACTAAAATGGAAGAGGTCAATTACCTGATGTATTTGACTCCATGAGAGGAATTTTGAAGTTCTGCTAGAGAGTTTAGGAGGTAAATTAACATTAAATACATAATTTTATGAACTAAGTAAACAAATAGAATAAAGTAGTTACTAATTCCAAGATAAGCAAAGAACTGAACATGCAAGGAAATGTAATCATGGAACACGGTGTGGCTGAGCCATGAGCAGTATTTGTGTGGCTGTAATGTAAATGCAGAAAATGATTTAGTAATAGTTAGTTGTCGATAACTAAAATTATGACATAATTAGGAAAAGTGTTGAGGGGCAGAGAATGTAGGAGCTGAATCCTTAAACTTCTATGATAGGAGCCAGTAAATGAAATCTAAACTTAAGAAATGAAGAAATGTGAGAGTAAGAATGTAATGTAGAAACATGGAGGTAAATACAAAAAATAAAGAGGTGCAAGTTGTTCTCTGGGAGTGGGACTTAGAGGTGAGAAGTGGAGAGGTAGAGGACTGCTATTTTCCATTGAAGCCTTAAAGTGCTATTTGACTGTGAAACTATATAATTTGGCTTTAAAAAATGAAAAGTGTACGGCCGGGCATGGTGGCTCACGCTTGTAATCCTAGCACTCTGGGAGGCCGAGGCAGGCGGATTGTTTGAGCTCAGGAGTTCGAGACCAGCCTGAGCAAGAGCGAGACCCTGTCTCTACCAAAAATAGAAAGAAATTAATTGGACAGCTAAAAAAATATATAGAAAAAAAAAAATTAGCCGGGCATGGTGGTGCATGCCTGTAGTCCCAGCTACTTGGGAGGCTGAGGCAGAAGGATTGCTTGAGCCCAGGAGTCTGAGGTTGCTGTGAGCTAGGCTGACGCCACGGCATTCACTCTAGCCAGGGCAACAGAGTGAGACTCTGTCTCAAAAAAAAAAAAAAAAAAAAATTGAAAAGTGTAAGTTAAGCACAACTGTATTATGACAGTTGAAAGTCAGTGTTGGTTATTTGGTTCCTAGTTCTTTCGATTATAGTTCAGTGGGTTTTTACAAAGAATTGCCTCTGCTTTCTTGTTTGTGTTCATCTAATTTCTTATGAAAGTTTGGCATGATTAAATTAGTTCTGCTGGGTGCTTAGGAGTAAGATGTGTTTCCTACCCTTGATTTCTGGCAGAGAGTGGACAGAGTCTTAGTTTAGGACCATGTTTAAGTGGTTAGGAATAGGTTCTGTGCTAGATGTCAGATCCTCTGGAGGGATCATTGAGGGGAGTTGTGTTGTGCGTCATCATCATATGTGTCCAGACCCTATAACAGTATTTGTAGTCTTGGCTTTTTCTTCCTGGAAGTCAAATCTCTTTGTGGATATGGACAGTTCAAACTTTGTAACATTTCAAGAGAAACTAAGACTTTGTTCGGTTTTGATATAGAAGCCCTCTAATCATTCTAGTAAGCCTGCAGCATAGGAAACAGACCCAGAGATCGCACCCTAAGCAGGGAGGACCGAGGTTTGGAACCAGTTCTGTTGGGCCAGAGCCTGGGTTCTGTCCCCCACACCTACTGAAAGGCATTCACGGTGGTGAGTCAGGAAGGGTTGTGACAACTGCCACCATCGTTGTTTTTGCCTTGCTGGCATGCTGCTATTCTCTAAGTTGTACTAACATAGAAATAGAGTTGCATTATGGTTTTGTAATTGTCTGGTATTTTGGGATGGTGGAAATTATTTAGGGGACATATGGGTATTATGAAAAAATAAAATATATTTCCTTAAAGAGTTTGGGACAATGTCTTAATACTTTTTTCTTTGATGAAAACTTCCTTATAATTATTTCATCTCCTTAGAAATTCAATGAAAAAGATTTGGAAGTAATACAGCAGAACCATTATTTAATGACTACAGAGGATCTTGAGTTTAGGAGTGAAGGTTTAATAACAGAAAAACGCTCTTCTCAACAGTTACCTGGCAGCAAAGTCATCTTCTCTGAGGTGAGTTTGACTGAAATTGGACATTCACATGCGAGTGTATTCATATTCTTTTCTAAACCATATTTGATAACTCCTTTGATCTAGAGATCCTCAAATGCCTTCTTGCTGATAATTGAGCCTATAACAGGTAAGAGTAGGAGTTCTTAGCCTACTACCTTACAGATTAATATCCTTTAGCTGAGCATTAGTATTTGCACTGTCCCTGAAACTGAGAAATCACAGCTTGTTAAAGAGAAACCTCATTTGCTCTATCAGGGATCAGTCTCTCAGTAATCCCAAGTGGTTAGTAGTTCTCCTGTTCAAACACATATGAAAAATGGCATGGCAGGCTCTTTTTCATCTGCCTCCAAATTATCTTTCCAATCTCATTTTCTTTCATCTCCAGCAATAGCTACAACTTGTTAGATTCCTGAAAACACCATGTTTGTACCACTCTGTGCCTTTGCACCTGCTGTTACATCTGCCTGGAATGACTTTTCCTTCCCTGTTTACCTGCTCACAGGACATCCCTACAGCTGCCACTCTGATGTCACCTTCTCTGTGGAGCTTTCCCTTAGCCAGGTCCCCTCGTCCTCCAGTTCACAGCACTTAGCACAGTGCTCCGTGGTAGCACTTACTCCTTGTGTGTCAGTTATGGGATCCACCTTCCTACCTCCCTTCCCCTGAACCCCTGTGCAGCACCCTGGGCAGGCACTTCAGGGGTCAGAAACTGGCACGTACTCTGAATCCCAATGCTTAGTCCATTTCCTGGCTCTGTAAATGTTTGTTGAATGAATGAATGAATAATGCAACTAGGCAGCCAAATATGGGAAGGGAAAGGAATTAACTCTAGGCCAAGGTTTTTTTTGTTGTTTTTTTTTTTAAACCTGGCTTTAATTAAGTTCATACATTCGGAAGATAGAGAACTCTTAGGCATATTAGTTCTCTGATGAATGGCTGTGATCGTGGCTTGTGGTTTTGTGAAGGGTGAGTCTCAAAATAATTAACTGGTACAACATGGGCATCGACCATCAGAACAGACTCGGGCAGTAGGGCTGGAGCCGGGCACCAACCCTGTAGTTATTAGATCACGGGGAGGTCTCTAGGGGTTCACAGGAATGGGCCAGGGCAGCTGGGGTGGTTGGAGTGGATGGACCAAGGTTTATTTTCTAATTGGTGTAGAAATAGTTTAGTATTTCAGCATCAGTACTAGCCGTTGTGCTGTATGTCGGCTCTGTATCAGACCTGGTCCTGAGGGCATCATTGGCTGAAGAGTTGGAGCTCTTTCTTAATTCTGACCGTTTTTGTATTTGCCTCTGCTCTTTCTCTTGAGAGTGTCAACATGGACCCCTGGGCTGGGCCAGGAATCCGGAGGCCTGGATTTCTGTCTTGGCTCTGTCATTTCACCTAGGTGACCTTGCATAGGTCTGATAACTAAATCTCAGAGGGCTAATATTTTATTATGCTAACTTGCATTTAGTTATTTGATTTTCACCAAATTTAGTTGGGCTATTAAGATTCACATTAACCTATAATAAGGCATAGTTTGTTTTGTAACAAGATAGCAGCCCAGTAGATTTTTTAGATAGAAATATTTTCACTAATTTGAATATATAGTTAAACTTTGCTATTTTGAATCACATTTGAATCATGTAAAAAGTATCAAATGTTGAACAAAATATTTACACATTTATTAAACAGGTTGAGTATTTTAAAATTTAATTTCACTAGTTTTATCATCTGCTCCATTTTGTTTTTAGTTTTTTTGTGCTGGGTGGGTCTGTGCTTCATATAACTACAAATATAAAGTCATTGCCTGGGCATTTAGTATTCATATCCTGGTGATGTTTAAATTACTGTGCAAAATACCTAGGTATTTTAGCAAAGGTTTTAATTCTTTTCTGCAAGACTAATTTCAAATTGTAGATAAAGAATTATACATTATCACTTAGGAATTATAAATTTCTAGCTGTCAATTTAAGAAATCCCAACTGTTGCAGCCTTACAATCCCCCCCACCCCCACGAAAGGTATACTTTTCAGGTTGTAGTTCTTTCTTTGTAGCAAACGTGGATTTCTTTTGCTATGCCCTTGGCCATTTTATGTTGATTTAGGATTTATCCTCTGCCCATTTCTACAAAGAGCTTGAGGCTATGATGATGTCTCTATAGATGTTGGGCAGTCTGTTTTCCTTCTAATCATTGTGTGATCCTGAGAGTTAATGCTAGATGATCAGGGAATTGAAGAATAGAGAGTAAAACACACTGACCATATTTAACTTGCTGCAGTCAGAGATTTATAGCTTGGGTATTGACATGGCTGGGACATCGCTGCCGAATTTTCTGAGTATTAAAATTAATGTCTTTGTTGCAGGGCTGTGTGACACAGCTACTGAAATAGACATCATCCATCTACTAGGACACTAAATTGCCCTGATTACCAAGAAGTGATCCATTAAGCTTTCTCTTTACATGTCTGCTGCCTCTTCAGACTGTGGTCTGCACAGAACATGTATTTCCGTCGAGTCATTAAGGAAACTATGGTAGAGTAGAAAATGCCAGTCCTGCTACTTACCAGCTTTGTGACCTTTAGCAAATCACTTAATCTCTCTGAAACTCACCTTCCTAATCTTCAAAGTGGGCAATTACATGCCTGCCTTCTGAGAGGACTAGAAATAATATGTGTATTAGTTAAGGTTCTTTTGGTTGCAGGCTACAGAATCCAACCTCGAGTAGTTGGAGCAAAACAACAACGAGAGGCAGTATAGATTGGGATCATACTGGAGGCGCTCACAGATGCCAAGCAAGACTTGAGCAGCCACACTGTGGGGGAGGGTGAAAACCAGCGGCTCCACACATCTCGACAACAGAAGTCGCAGACTCCAGGGTTCTGTCTTTGACATGCCTCAGACCCAGTGACTCCCAGATGTCTGGTGTCTCAGTTTAAATCTCTCAGTTGCTGGGAGAGAATTGTGCTGGTTTAGCATGGGCCCAGGGCCTGGCTCACAAAGGAGAGGAGTCTTCCTGGGACTTGCTCCTGTGTCTTAGGGACAGTTCTCAGAAGAGGCAGGGGAATGCCGTGAGCTGGGTGGTCATTCCAGGGGCCGTGGAGCACATAGTGCTGAGCAAGACACACGGCAGGTGTGTGGCAGAGGCACGTCTTCTGCGATGAGAGGCCTCCTGTCTGGGGTGCTGCTTGTTTGGAGGGGCTGGGGGTTGGTTGCTCTTGCTGAGCAGGTGCTTCTCGTTACCCGGCTCTGGGCAGCCTGGCCCCTGCCTCTGTGCCAAGGAGATCTACTGGTTTGTCAGCTCTGCTGAGGGAGCCAAATGACTTCATTCTAATGGGGCATGATTCAACACAGGGGAATAGATGATTGATGAAATGGGACCCAAATGGCTCCGAAGAGTTCATTTATTTAACATGGGTAAGCAATTTGCTTCTAGGAAGATGTTGACTCACTCTGACTTCCATTATGCAAAATACCCCCAGGAATCTCTGCTCTTAAGATTCGTTATCAGTCCCTGTGTTCCCCTCTTACCTATTTAATCATCAGTTCAGCAAGTATTTTTGGCAGCATTTGATTTGTGTCAGACACTGTGCCTGGCGCAGGACACTGTTGCTTGCAGGGAGCCCTCAGCCCTGTAAACAGGTAGTTGGTGCACTAGGCATGGGACAAAGGTGAATGAGTATGCTCCGCTCTGGCAGCTGGAGGAGGGCATCTTTCTCAGTCAGGTAGTTTCCTGGTGAGATTTGGCCTGAGTGCATCCCGTAAGGTGCCCTGGAGTGTGTCAGTGGAGAGTGGTAAATGGTGGCACTCGGTCTCTGAAGAGGGAGAAGGGGTCCTTCCTGGGGCTCAGATGGAAGGGCAGAAGGTAAGGATGAGGGCAGGAGCTGAGGATAGTAGTGGCCTGAGAAACATGGGGAAGCTTTGGAATAGCTGCCAGAAAGGAGTGTGGAGGGGGCTGAGCCAGCATCCAGGCCCTGGTGTGGCAGTGAGCTGTCCTCCTCTAGGACTTGGAACCCGGCCTGCAGAGATGCAGTTAAGATACGGGGTCCCACGTACATACATTCCTGCCGTCTCTACGCCATCCTCCAGAAATCCATATTGGTCTTTTTTCCCTATCCCTTCTTGGTTGGCTTTGAAGTTACATACTTAAGCACAAATTCTGACTTTACCAGTCAGTAGCTGAGTGGACTCAAATAACTTGCCTCTGCTCCCAGAGAGACTCAGTGTCATCATCTGAAGAGTGGGAGAATTAAATACTTCCCTGGAATGCTGTGACAAGTAGAGATGATATATTAATATATTAATATGTAACTGACTAGCGTAGTACTTGGAGCATAAGAATAATAGTTACAGCTGACATTTATCAAGTGTTTACTCTGAGCCAGGCATTGTTTTGAGAACTCTGTCTAGATTAACTCATTTAATTCCCTTAACAACCCTGTGACATATGTAGAATTGTTACTTCCATTTATAGGTGAGGGTACTGAAGTACAGAGAGGTTAGGTAACTCGTTGGGTCACACAGTTAATAAGGTCATGTAATCTTAACCATTGCAGCCTCTCACATTACTGCCTCAAGAAGCAGTAGGTTTTCTTATTTTCTTTGGCTGGCCTTTGTGTGGCTGACACGTCACCCTTGTCAAGCACCCAGTGTTTTGCATCCATTATGGGGCAATGATGGGTGGGCTGAAGAAGAACCCACACCCTGCCTCCCCTCTGTGACCTTGGGCATGCAGCCGTCTGTGCCACAGTTTCCTCATCTCTGAAACAGAGAGCTTGGTGACACATGACACATTGGGTTGGTGTGAGGATTAAATGAGAAAGTGCCTGGAAAGCACTTCACGTGGTGGCTGAGGACGTGATATCTTTCTTGGGCTTGATGTCCTATTTAAATCCTACCCCCTCTCTTCTCTGGGATTTTTAGGCTGCACACGCGGTTGTGTGCAGGTGGGAGCTGAGAGAATCCCACGTGATACTGTTGTTGTCTATAAAAGGCATTTGGAAGCTCCTTGTGCCAGTGACATGTGGCATGATTTACAAAAGGGCCTGACATTTCTAGCAGTCTGGATGACTAACTTATCATGACCAAGCTGGTGGTTTAGCATTTACAACTTTTAATCAGCAAGTGGTGCCTTAGCCTTGTTTTGTCAGGGTTAGAAATAGAGCGGTGTTCTCCTAGCTCAGGGGTTCTTAACCTTTTTTGCCCTCTGCATGCCTTTGGTAGTCTGCCGAAGCCAAGGATCCCGTCCCTGGAAAAATGTTTAAATGCATAAAATATATGCAAAGGATTCTAAAGGGAACTAAATGTTTTGCAATTTAGTTATCAAAATATAAAAATGTTATGCTGTAGAAATGGTGCTTGTTAAAACATTAAACAACAAATATGATGGTGAGTAAAGTGACTACTGTAGTTTTGAAGTAGTGATAAAAATGAATACTTGGAGATATCTACAACATATATAAAATAACTATTTCTTTTGATGACAGAGTCACAGTAATACCACTAGTACTGGCTTTTAGTGGTAGTAATAGTCCTTCAATTCATAATTGAAGGGCCTGTTAAATTTCAGTTAGAAGTTAGTGGAACTAAAAATTTAATTTTTTCCCCATTCACATTCATGCAGCCCCTAAATTTTATTTTTTTATTTTTATTTATTTTAATTTTTTTTTAGAAACAGGGTCACTCTTTTGCCCATGTTGAAGCTCAGTGCAGTAGCCCAGTTATAGCACACTGTAACCTGGAACTCCTGGACTCAAGGGATCCTCTCACTCAGCCTCCCGAGTAGCTAGGACTGTAGGTGCACACCACCACACCTGGATAATTTTTTATTTTATTTTGTTTATTGTTTTTGTAGAGGTGGAGTCTAGCTATGTGGCCTCAAGCGATCCTCCCACCTTAGCCTTCCAAAGTGTTGGGATTACAGGCATGAGCTACCGCGCCTGGCCTAAATTTTTTTTTTTTTTTTTAGGCTAGCGTCTCACTCTGTCTTCCTGGCTAGAGTGCAGTGGCATCACCATAGCTCACTGCAACCTCAAAGCCCTGGGCTCAAGTGATCCTCCTGCCTCAGTCTCCCGAATAGCTGAGACTACAGACATGTGCCACCATGCCCAGCTAAGTTTTCTGTTTTTTGTAGAGATGGGGTCTCAGTCTTGCTCAGGCTGGTCTCTAACTCCTGAGCTCAAGCAATCCTCCCCACTCAGCCTCCCAGAGTGCTGGGATTACAGGTGTGAGCCATTGTGCCCAGCCCCAGGCTAAATTTTAATCACATTAAGAACCCCTGTTAAGTGGTATCTTACTTTAGGAGAAAACAGAAGTCAATGTGAACTACAAAGGCTGTCTGTAGCCCCAGTTTCTCTGTTAACTGAATATCATACCCCTCCAGCATCTAGTTGGTGCCAGGCACTGTTCTGGGTATTCTGTACACATTAACTTTATTTTAACGTTTTTTTAAACTTTGGAATAATTTCAAATTTATAGAAAAGTTACAAGAATAAAGGATTCTATTTTTCCTAAGCCTTCGGAAAGTTGCCATGTGAAGCCCTATCCTCTCTGAATACGTTGGTGTGTGTTTCCTATAAACAGGGACATTCTCCTGTATAACCTCTGCCCAGCTACCACAACCAGGAAATTAGCCTAAACTAGTTTCCTTCACTGCTACCTTGTAATCCTTAGGCTCATGCATATCTCATCAGCTGTCTCAGTAACACCCTTTGTAGCAAAAGGATTCAATCCGGGATCACACATTGCATTTAGTAGTCTTGGTTCTTCAGTTTTTAATCTGGAGCAGTTTCTCAGTCTTTCCTTGACCTTCATGGCCTTTGGGACTTCCAGAGTGTCTAGGCCAGTTGTGTTATGGAATGTCCTTCAGCTTGGGTTGTCTGTCTGGTGTTTTCTTGGTGATTAGATTCAGTCTATGCATCTAGTCTTTTGGCAGGAAAATCACAGTAGCGATGCTGTTCTCATTGTGTCTTATCCAGTGGTACACGATTCTATTTGTCCCATTCCTGGCCATGCCAACTCTGATAACTTCATAAAGGTGGTGTCTGCCAGGTGTCTTGACTGTCTATTACTCTTTTTTCCTTTATATTTAATAAGTATTTTGGGGAAGTTTTTTGAGTATGTGTAAATATCCTGATCTTTAAACTTTCACACACTAGTTTTAGCATCCTTTTATGATTCTTGGCCAGATTATACTTGTTCATCTTGGATAACTGAAATTTGTTTCCTTTGACCAACATCTCCCATACCCCTCTGTCCTGCTTACCGTGGCAACCACTGTTCTACTCTTTAAGTACTTCCTTATTTTGTGGCACAAGAAAAGTGCTGTACATGTGTCTTCCATTTCCCCTGATTTTCCTTGTCCTAATACTGGAATCAGCCATTTCTCCACGTACCCCTGGTTTCTCACGGTTCGCAGTCTGTCTTTGATCTGCTCCATGACTCCATAGGTGGTGGTTATTTTTTTTTTGTCCACCATGTCACAGGAGGGAATACCAAGGCTCCTAGTAAGTAACTTTCCAAAGTCCCAGAACTGATAAGTGGCAGAGCCAAAATTTGAACTTTGAAAAACCCTTCATATTTGTGAGTGCTAATTCACAAAACCACATCCCCATTTCATAAATGAGGAGACTGGACCTCATAGAGGTTTGTCAGGCTGCTTACTCAAAGTCACACTGCTAGCAGGTGGCAGAGATCCAGCTCAGGTCTCTAGCATCATTCTGTTGGATGCCTCCCACAGCACCTCACTTGGCCACTTCTGCTTTGCTGTAAGTCCCTTGTCTTCAGTACTTGTCAGGGTCTGGTTTGTGAATTTCTCTTCTTTGGAGCAACAGCAAGCATGGAAAGGTAGTCTTAATAGTGTTGTGAAAACGATGACCAGCCGCTCTGAGGGGTGACAGTTTTACGATGGGCAAGTCGGATAACTGTGATGCCTTTCCTAGCAGCTGTTTAGTGTTGGAAGCTCAGCTCTCAGCTTTGTTCTGGGGTAAGTGATGGGCCGTCATTCCCCACTCCTCCTGAAGGTGGTGCTCTCTGACTGTGGCCTGAGCCAGAGCCTGGCACAGGGCCCCACCTTCGTCTGATTTTAAAAACCAGAGCTAGCCACATATGTTTGCATAATGTAAGGATGTACTCTTTTAAAATTCTTCCCTTAATGTCAGATGCCTATTGTCATTTCCAGGAAAAGCAACAATCAGACTATGAAGAACTGATGCAAGTCTTAAAGAAAGAACAGGACATCTATACCCATCTGGTAAAATCTCTGCAGGAATCAGACAGGTAAGGAGGTTTCTGTTTGGACATCACACACATATGAGTGTGAACAGACACACACACACACACACACACACACACACACACACACATCTTGAATAAATGCTGGTGGTTTCTGAGGCAGCAAAGCCCTATCATTTTGCTTAGGAAGCTTATAAAGTGCTTGGATGGTAATTGCCATATTTAGTCAGATATACCTGTTTTCTATCAAGAATTGTCTGATTTTTGGTCGCAAAATTAGGATAAAATATAATAATTACTCAGATTTGTAAATACTTTATAATATATTTAGAAAGTGCTTTCATGTCTATTATCTCATTGATCCTCACAGCTGTTCTGTAAGGTATTAATGGTGTCTCTATTTTCCACAAGGCCGTGAAAACTAAGAGAGGTTAAGTGACTTACTTGTTCAGAGTCACACAGGTGTTGAGTGTCAGAACCCTGGGATCCAAACAAGCCTCTGTGTCTTGGAGCAACTTGTGTCTCTGCAGAATTACTGAAATGATTTGGTACCAGTGTGGTTTGGTAAGGAGAGCCAATTTAGGCTAGTGGTCTTGTTCTAGCCCTGGCTCTGCCACTTTCTACCTCTGTGTCCTCAGGCAAGTGGCCTGCTCTGGCCTCTGTTTGCACATCTATAAATGCAGGCTTGGCCTCAGGGAGTTCTCACATTAAGAAATCATTTCTCTACACAGTGGGATAGTTACACTTAAAAGGATACAATGTCTGGGATTCATTTCAAAACAGTACGGAAGCAGAGGACGTGGGTAGGGATATCGAAGGAACAAGACTGGCCCTGGCTTCCTGATTGTTGGGGCTGGGGTTTGGGTACATTAGTTTGTCTTCTTTTGTATATATCTAAAATTTTTCATAATAAAAAGTGTAAAACCATCACCGCTCACTTCTCCCTCTCATCCACCCTTTGTTCTCACCGCTGTGAGCTCTTCCTTGTTCCCTGGTCTGTGTGTTCCTGCCTCTGCCTTCACTTGTGTTTCCTACCTGTCCCTCCACTCCTCTTCCCTACTTTGTCTCCCACTAGTCCTTTAGAATTTAGCGTGAGTGTTAACCCTTGTCAAGAGGGCTGGCCAATCCCTAGAACGGTCGCCTGCCTTGTATTGGGTGGTCATCCTGTGCGGTCATCCATGACTGCTCTGTCTCCTCACCTGCACGGGGAGCTCCCCCAGGGCAGGGATCCTGTCTTACTGTCTCTGTTCCCCAGGGCTTGGTGTAGAGTAGGTACTCTGGAAACTTCTGTGCGGGGATGCTTCTTCCTCCCAGTGCTGATCTTCTAAATTATGAGATCATTTTGAAATTTTAAATCTGAAATGAGTTTAGAGAAAATGAAAACATGCTGATGAAATTCTGGGAGTAGCATCACTCTCTGAAAGTGAGCTTTTTCAAGAAGCTGCTGGCCATTTTCACGTGGGAGAGGGGTGGAGTCATGTGGGAAAACTCAGGAATGGTCAAATTTTGTTTCAGTTGTGTAGCTTCTCTGGGTGGGAGCCAGGTTAGATTCTGGGCACCGAGAGGCCCTGTGGGCGGATGTGGTTGCCCTCAAGCCTCCTCAGCATTGTGAGTGGCTCTGAGTTTCACAGCCCCTCTTAATGAATGAAAACATGGATGGGACTGAGGCGAGTCAGGGCTATGACTAACAAGGATGCTTAAAAGGTTTTCTGTTCCTCTTCTGTCTTGCAGTACACTTAGGGGAAGACAGACCTGGGTCCAAATCCCAGCTCTGCCACCCAGCAGCTCTGAGCTCTTGGCTAAGTCACTTTTCACTGTGAGCCTCAGTGGGGTTTATAAGATTGAGATTGGCTGGCCCATCTACCTACCTACCTACCTACCTACCTACCTACCTATCTACCTACCTACCTACCTACTTACCTGCTTACCTGTCTTTCTACCCTACAGGCTTGTTTTGAAATAAGAGATGATACTATGTAAACTCCTAATACTGCCTGCCACATAGTAAGCACTCATTAGTAAGTGAAAACACTTCTTAAGAGTAAGAACAACATGAAAAGCTTACATATGCTTCAGTATCCCAGTGTGCTTGCGTGTAGCTTGTGCGGGGTTTTGACTCCTCAAGGGACAGAACTGTGGGCTGCGGCAGGCGGAGCTCCCTTCTGTAACTCCAGCACTGCTCGCTTTCCGGAAACCGACAGCAAAGGTGGATGACTGGCGACATGAAGTGCCGTGATTAACAGTGGACAGGGAGGACAGGGAGGAAGGAAACTCATGGCAGGCTACGTGTGCTGGATCTTTTCACTCGTACTATTCATTCTCCATGGCCACACTTAGAAGCTGGTGGCTTTAGCCCCATCTTACAGAAGTGGAGACGTGGCTTCTAAGATGTTAAGTGTATTTAGAGCTCAGATGTTTTTGGCCACTGAGCCTAGGCTCTTACTGACCTGCTACCCACCGTGAGGATTGGCACAGTTTGCACTTCCCTGTAACTCAGGGTTTCTCAGCCTCAGCAGTGTTGGGATTTGGGGCTGGATAATTTTTTTATCATGAGGGGATTTCCTGTGCATTGTATGTTTAGCAATCCCTGACCTCTATCCAGATGCCAGTAGCACACCTGCCCCCTCCCATACCAGTTATAACAACCAAAATTGTCTCCAGATGTTGCCAAATGTCCTGGGGAACAAAATCATCTCCAGAGAAGAAGCATTGCTGTAACTCATGAAAATCAGAAATTTCAGCCCATAAGTATCATCTTTTGTATGGGAGTTGTTGGGGTATGTGAAAGAAAGGAGATGATGTTCTTTGAGCATCTAATATGTGTTAGGCACTGTGCAAAGTCTTTCCCACGTAACGTCTTATTTAATCCTCAAAACAATCTTGAAGTAAAGGTATTATTATCCCTGTTTTACTGATGAGGAGTCAGGACTCAGGCAGTTTAACTGACTTGTCCACGGGCATGGAGCTAGTAGTGCGGTGTGTTGTTTTGAGCTTGGATCTCTCTGACTCCTCATTTCTGCTTCTGCCTCTCCCCCACCCCCCGCCACCCCAACTCCGGTTCCAGAAAGAGGAAGGTACGGGGTTTTTGTTTCTTTCTGAGCGAAGCACCTTTTGTTCTGCCAACTCCTCACACCTTGAAAAGATTCTGGAGTTGGGAAAACATAAATGACAGACAGAGGAGCAGCAGCTGTGTACTTTTCACCCTGTCAGGAATGGAAAAGGGAGTGAAGCAGTTAGCTTTCCCCAGCCCTAATCGCAGGAGCTTCGCTAACACAATCTCCTTTTCTCCCCCTAGTTAAATGTCTCTGCAGCATGACTGCATCCGAGCGAGTGCTGTGCTGTCACACCTCTGTAAGGTTTTCCATCAGCCTTACAAATTGATCATTATGATTGTCTTGAAATGGAACTAGGTGCAAGTTACTCGCAGGGCCCCTTCCCTTGCATGAAGACTACTTCACAGTGAACCGTCCTCAGAGCAGCAAGCATCGCAGATTAGACATAATGGTTTATTTTCCTTCCAATGTATGTTGATTTATGTGTGCAGTTTGATGGATGCAGCTGGAAGAAGTCTTTGAAGAAAAAATGGGGCTCGAGTCTGACACACATTTAGAGCAATGGCTCCTAACCATTTGGGGGCTATGGACCCCTTTTAAAAAATCTGATGGAAGCTTATGAGCCATCTCCCTAGAAAAATCCACATATTCATAAATTTTTACAGATAGTTTCAAGGTGTTGATGGACCTCCTTAGGGAACTGTAGATCAGATGCTGGACAGAGAGTGATATATTTCCCGGTGTTTAAAAAAGGAGGCTTTCTGATTTGTTAATGTGTTTAATCTTTAACGATGTTCATATACTTTGACCCAGTAATTGTACTGCTGGGAATCTTTCTTAAGAAAATAACCTGAATGTCAAACAAGGCTTTAGGCACAGAGATGTACAGAAAAGCATTATTTATGCTATTTAGATGTCAGCTGGGGTCTCCACGTTCCTCTGAGAGCTGGATTTAAGATCTCTGCCAGCTACATATTAGCAGAAGTACAAAGCCTTTCTTATGGATCTACACTGTCCAATACAGTAGCCACTAGCCATGTGGCTATTTAAATTTAAACTTTAAATTTAATAAAATTAAACATTCAGTTCATTGATATGTTAGCCACATTTCAGATGCTCAATAGGCACATTTAGCTTGTGGCTGCTGCAGTAGAAATTGTAGATATAGAACATTTCCATCAGAGAAAGTTTGTTGCACAGGGCTCCCCACAATGAACACAGATTTTGGGAGGTGTGCATTTTCATGGCCTCCTCTGGGTTTTGGGCTTCTGGTTCCATGAAAGCTCTCTGTATAGCTCAGCACTGTATCACATCGACCCAGATGTGAAACTTGACATCTCCCCTCCCAAAATAAAAATCCATTTCTAATGTGCATTTATAAGTGGTTAACCCACCACAATGGAGTTCTTTTGGCCCTAAATCGGTCTTCTTTCTTATTGTTGACTCACTGTTCTTCCTTTATTTTTTTTCTCTTCCCTCCTGTCCCCCATACTTACTCCGAATACGATATCTTTGAGGAGTAACACAAAAGCTTCTCCCTCTCTTCTGAAGCCTGGGTGCCAGGTGACATCCAGGCCCTGGATAGCCTCCCCTTCTATACTCAAGCCCTCTCAAGGCATTATGCCACATAGAGAAGCTTTCTGGAGAATGAAACTATTTCTCCCTGGTTGTATCTGTAGCAAAAACTTGGAAATGACCCAAATATCCACTAATAGGGGATGAGTTAAAGTAAATGGTGGGACAGTCACTGGTTTAATATTATATAGTCATTAAAAATGATGTTTGCAAATAATTTCCAAAAACGTAGGGAAATATTTAAGTGAGGAATGTGTAATTCAGCACTGTATGTCCAGCATTATTTCAACCTTGTAAAAAATACGGGGAAAAAGATTGAGAGGAAATACAGTCTGCCATGTGTTAATTGATAGTAGGAGCATGGGAATTTTGTTTACTTTATACTTTTATATTTCAAATTTTCTGTAATAAACATGTATTTACTTTATAACCAGAAAAAACACAAAAGACATAAAGATCACAGGAAGGCTTGCTTTGCTTTGCATCTTAAAGCACAAATAGGTCTGTTTTAAAATTTCTGATGTCTTGTTTTACCAAGTATCAACAACCTGCAGGCTGAGTTAAACAGCGTCTTTGCCCTGCGGAAGCAACTGGAGCAGGATGTACTCTCTTATCGGAATTTGCAAAAGACCCTGGAGGAGCAGATCAGTGAAATTCGGAGGCGTGAAGGTACATGCTCTCGTCTACGTATTTCCTTTTGGTTTTTCCTCTTGGAGAACGCGGGCTGCACTTTAAGATAGTGCTGAAACTTCATTAAGAGGAGAAGCACCTACGGGATTTCATCTTGGGATTCTTTTTGTGGTGACCATGATGATGTCGGCTTTCCCAGGCTGTAACCATCTGGCTTTGGCCTTCATATTGAAGAGCCTAGTAAATTGTATTAAATTCTGCAGAGGGTCTGTTGCAGGATTGCTTCCTTGCTGCCTTTACTATTTTTTGTATCATTTGATACTCCTAGCTGTGGATAACCTTGGGGACTTGCAGTCTTCTTTTTCTGGTAAACAGCCCTCATTGCCCAAACATCTGGGCACTGCCTACCGCAGCACCCACAGCAGAGAGCCCAGGACTGCACAGATGTATGGGTGAGACTGCTGTTGCAGGTTGAAACATTGTTTTTAGCAGTGTAGATTCATTAAGGGAGGGCTGTAAGATGAGTGTCCTGTGGGATTTGCATTGTTATACTCATCACAGTGATATTTGGCGCTTTCCCTGGCTAGAACCTGAGCCCCTTAAAGTCTGGTGTCTTATTCCCTTCCATATCTCTAGCCTGGTGCCTGGCATGTATTGTGAAATCAGTAGTTTTGACATTCCTCGAGTACCTGCTATGTATAAGGCAGAGTGCTAGGCACTTAACTTTTCATCTCTGATCCTGGCAGTCATCCCATTGGGTACAGCAGGTATTAACTTCATTTTACAGATGAAGAAACTAAGGCTCAGCTGGGGGGTAGGGTGGGGTTTGATTTGCCCAGATTTGAACCAGGATATCTTCCTCTGGAGTTTAGCTCTTTCTAGTATTCCATACTCTATTTTAAAAGGCGGATCAGCTCTTACACATGTTAAATGAGATACTGTTTGTGGGTATGCCTCACTCAATAAACAGCTTCCCCCTCCTCCCCTTCTTCCCTCTCTGTTGGAACATGACCTTCGCTGCAAGGAAGCAGACCCTTACGTAGGTGACTGAAGATTCTTTTATTCATATCTTAGCTCTAGCAGGCAGTCTCTGCACTTAATGTGCTTGCTTCCCATGAGGGGTCTGGGGCCAGAGAAAAATAGATCAGGTACTTTTATTTCCCTTGAGTTCTACCCGTGAGGGTCACATCTAATTTTTCTGTATTCTCACCTAAACAGAATCACTCCCTCATTTAAACTGAAATCACCATTTGCTTGTGCCATTTAGAATGGTCTCCAGGCACAACACTCGATATGCAAATTATAATTCAGGATTGGCCCTAGTGAAAACCTACAGCCTAAGATGAAACTGTACATTGAAATATCAGCCTGTAGAGAAAGGGAAAATTACTTTTGCTCCAAAGGTAGTGCTTTGAACCCCCTATGTGTGCTTATGCTCCTTCCACCCCTGCCTCCCCCAATTCAAATTGCTGTAGATGGATTGCACTGGGGTTGGTTTCGGAAGGATCTGTTTCTGATATTCTTTTTCTCCTCCCCCTCCCCACCTTTTTTTTTGGGCAGAAGAACCATTTTCATTTTATAGTGATCAAACATCTTATCTAAGTATTTGCCTTGAAGAGCACAACCAGTTTCAAGTGGAGCATTTTTCTCAAGAAGAACTTAAGAAAAAGGTATTGACCTATTAACTTTTAATGCTTTTCTTTTAAGGTTGTTTGTTGTCTCTTGACTCCGAAAGCCCCTTTCCTCTCCCTTCGTTCCCTGTGCTCGCCGCCTTGTCTTTGTTCCTCCTTTGTGCGTTACCTGGACTGCTCTCGCCCACGTCTGACACAGGCCTTCTTAGGCCTGAGACCCCAGCCCAGGCTTGCTGTCCTTGAGGAAAGGCTCTCTGGCCTGTCGGGTCATTCACCTGTCTTCCTGCACCTGACCCGAACTGATGTCTTTCTCATATTTACCTGTAATTGTCCGGTTATTTGTCTACATCCCCTGCTAGGCTGTGACCATCTGAAACGTAGTGATTGTGCCTTATTCATTTCTGATTTTCCAGTGCCTGACACACATAGTAGGAGCTAATAGATGCTTTTTGAATGAGTAAAGTTCCAGGTTTGATCAGTAAATCTTTCTTTTTGTTTTTTAACTGGAAAGGTTTTTCAATCTGTTGATCAGTGGCATGGTTAGAGTGGTTTAGTGTTTCAAGGTTCTAAGCACCAGTGTTAAAAGTAGGAAGTGTGAGCATAGGGGAAACTGCGTGATTTATTGTAAATTATCATACATGTGTGGCTGAGATTCAGTTTCTCTCTTGGAATAATTCATGTTCTGATAGAGGAGACAGGCATGTAAACAAGTAATTGCAAAATGGAGTGCAAGGGTTGCTGTAATGGGCAGCCGTACCAGGTATAGAGGTAGCGGAGGAGGAGGGGGAGGGGCATGTGGTGGCCCATTTGATCAGGGGAAGCTTCTTAACAGAAGTGAGGCTTGAAATGTGTTTTGAAGGATGAATTTGGAGTTGTCCAGGTGGAGAGCTTTCTCAGTAGAGAAAGAGAAAACAACCTGTGTAAAGCACAGAAGTAAGAAATAGCAAGGAGAACTGTAAAACGTTGGATATTTTGTGAGGAGTAGGGCAAGGAGCATTGAGGCAGCTGCTAGTTTTTGAAGATGAAGAAAATGGAGGTAATAATAGCTGCTGCTAGTGTCTGCTGTGGCTGCGATAAGGGCAGGACATGTTTCCCTTGGTTGGCATTTAGTAAGTGTTTGTAGAATCAGAAGGTCTTGTTCTTCCCACTAGAACCTCCTTGAGGACTGGATCCAATTTTTACTCATGTTTCGATGTGTTGAACATCTACTATGTGCAGTCAGGGTGGGATTTTCCACTTTATTTGAAGAGCTAATGATTGCTCCCATCAAGAGGTGTTTGGAAAGTTCCTGGCCCTTGGGATTTGAAACTTGCAGGAAACAAAGACAGTGTCTGCTCAGCTTGCTCATGTGTCTGGCCCAGCAAGACCTGTGCCTTCAGGAGAAGCGCTGGACTGGGAGCCTGGGGAGCTCAGCTCAGGCCTGGCTCTGCTTCTGTGGGGGCGGCTGCCCTTTCCCACATGGTTAGGCTCTTCAGCCGCTCTTACATCGCTATGAGCTCTCCAGACACCCCAGATACGGGACCTTGGGCAATTAACTTCATTATAGCTGAGGTTCCTCATTATGAAATGGGAATAGACACACTAGCCTGTGTACCTCCTCAGGATTTTGCAAGGAGTGATTGACTAAAACTTGTAGTAGTATTTTAGTATTAGCCATAAATTGCTTTCTAATTGTCTGTTATCTGTTATTACTGACATTGCTAGATAGGTATACAAAGAAAGAGGTCAATGCCGATAGTTTCAGCTGATAGTCTCAGAAACTTCAGCCTTGGGGGAGTTTTCCTCCAGAGGGTCTCAAGTACAAGACAGAAATAGTATTAGATGTCATTGACTGATCACTTGCGCTGTGCCAAGGACTTCGGTGTGCTTTGACAATGGTCATGTTCAGTTCTCACAGTAACCCATTCTGCAGATGAGAAAACTGAGGCTTAGATTAGGCAGCTTGCCCAGGATATCTTTGCCTTAAAGTGATTGGCTCTGGGGTAAGAATACCAGCATGCCAGATGTCAAAGCCACTGTTTTTGTCACTATATCCAGGGTGTCCTGAAGGTTAGAACTGGGCATCCTGATTCTCCATAACTGTGGTGCAGAAGGGTCTGCTCAGTAGGAAGGCCCGTGTGGGGGTGTGGCCCCGGGAAGCAGAAGTCGGCTACTGGGTACCCAGCCCTCTCCTGCTCTTATCTTTTAGGTCAGCGACCTTATACAGCTAGTGAAGGAGCTGTACACAGACAACCAGCACCTGAAGAAAACCATTTTTGATTTCTCCTGTGTGGGTTTCCAGGGAAATGGCAGACTTGAGTCAGCAGGACAAACAAAGGTAAGAAGAAACATTCTCGTTGTCGTGCTAATTACAAAAATGTAACAACTCAAAAGATTTCTCAAGACTACATCTGTCTTGGGGGGGTCTGTAATTGAAATTCCCTTGCTGTGGATGGGGTTTGGGTTTCCAGGGCCCTGCTGGGTGGAGCAGGTCCGTCCACGGGCTTCCTCAGGTTTGCATCATGTCTCCATGGACACATCCGATACATTGTGACGCTTTTGACTTTGATCCAGCCCTGGGATCTGAGCTGCAGATGGCACATCTGGATGAGCGATGTGGTCTCAGAGGGATCTGGAGAGTTGCTAACCCATCCACATAATTTGGGCAGTGTAGATGCAGCATTAAGGACTCCGTTAACATTGAAAAACAGACACGCACACACTCCACCTGGGGAAAGAGCAAGGAAGCCTCATTCACTTTGATGACTTCTGGGTCTCAGTGCTGATCTTAGTGATGTGTTGTCTCCGATTTTCTCTGTTTGTGACACGTGCTACACAATGGGAGGACCCTGACGTTGTGATGGCGAGGAAAAGCCTAACTCTCCTGTAGGAGACCCTTGCTCCATGCGGGTATTAGCGTTGTTCCAGAAGACCAGAACTGTTCTCACTGTGAAATGCAGTAGTAGGGTCTTTTTGTCTTGGGTCCCTCACGTACAAAACTGGAATCTTCCGGGTTGTAGTTGTCTTAAACTCAACCTGGAGTGCCAGGTAAATAGAGCTTTCACATTCATTGTCACATCATTTCTTGGGAAAGATCTGTCAGCCTTAAGCTGCCTCCTCCTACCTTCAAAGTGGGAAATGCTCAAAAGTATTTTTGCTGTCTTTGAGAGAGGGAAGATTATTGATCTTAGCTTCGAAGACTCTAGATAATTTTGAAAACCAAAAATATCTACCATCCATTTAGGGAGAAACCAGTCTCTTGGTTTGCTTCCTCTAAGGCAGCATTTTTAATAAGCAGCTCATTCTTCACTGTCTTCATTTGAGACATAAATGGTGAGTTTTGTTTGTTCATTTGCCCTTTGAAAAAAATCTGTTAAATGTCCCGTATGTCCTTTGGAGAACAGAGGCTTTTTCCTCTTCCCACTCTAAGACCTTAAGACCAGCCGATTCAGATTTGAGTCATTTGTCAGATTGCACTTTGATTTGATGTTCCCTGTGAATAGTCTTATCCTTTATAGCACAGCTCCCCATCTTCCCCTGGAATGGGATGGTAAAAATGATGTGCCCACTATAATCTTGAGCTGAAGGGGTAGAGGGAGTTGGGGTGAGGGTGGATGGCAAAGAGTGAGGCTGCTGTTCTCTGGGAGTGCGTGTGGTGCTCTTTCGATGAGAAGGCAGAAACAGACCAGAAATGCTTCTATTGTCCACAGCGTTTGCTGAGCAGCAGGACTTGCAGAGTGGGGGCTGGGCATAATTCTTGCTCTCTGGGAGCCTATAAATCAGAGAAAGAGAACAAAAAAAAAAGCAAATATGTTTTGTGTTTTGAAATTCAGTATTTTTCCTCTGGTATTTAATTTACCCGTAGCATTACCCTAGCAAGAGGAAAACAGAGGAAAGAAATTACCCCTAATCTTGTCACTTTAAAACAGGCACAGTTATTTAACATTTTGGAATTGTGCCTTCTATATTTGTATGTGTAAACACGTGGATGCACACACCTCTGCTGTAATGCAGTTTGTATCCCGTTTTTCCTAATTGCCATTAGGTCATAGCATTTTATTGTACCATATGAATGCGCTGAAATTTAACCGGCTTGCTATTGTTGGACTTGCAGATTGTTTCTAGTGATTCACTATTTTAAATTACATAATGAATGTCTTTGGACACAGATCTTTTTCTGTGTTAAGGGTTTTTTTCCCTTAGACCATCTTCCCGGATTGTGTAATTACTAGGTCAAAGGACAGATACAGATATGCAGTAGGCATACAATTTATTTTCATATACCCTCCCCTAACAACTTTCAGTTTGGAAAAGGGTATAAGTAGTTTGAAGGCCCTGATGGAGTTTGTCAGGTTTCTTTTTAAAGTGGCCGCCCTGCTACAGAACCCTGCCGGCTGGATATGATGGTGCTTATTCTCTGAATGCTCACAGTTCGTATAGAAATCACCAAACAAAAGACCAAGACCTGTTGTTCTAATGTGCATTTAAAAAACCTCTATGAGGTTGCCTGTTTTCTTAAATTTATCTGCTGGTTATTTATGCATTATAGGAGAATTTGGTTGGAAATCGCCATACAGAGGGATTTCGGCAGAGTATAGTCAGGTTGGTGAGCGTTGAGAACCATGAACTGTGTAGCTCGTGGACCTGCCGTCTCTAAGTGTTGGATATGTGTAAAGCACTTGGCACGGGTACTGGCATATTCAAGTGTCAAAAAGGATTAGTTACTGTTATCATTGTTAGGAATGCTTAGAAAACTAAGATTTTTTTTTTGGCATAGAGAGGAAATGTGGATTAAGGGGCATAATTTAACTGAAGTCAGGTATTTGTAGGGCTGTCATGTTGAATAAGGAATAGACCTTGTGTGTGACTCTAAGGTATAGAAATGGTACTCAGAAGTATAAAGTGCTTCTTAAATACTCTGTTAATATTAATAGTAACAATAAAATTTGGTTTGTCAGAGCAGACTTAATTTCATGAAAAGGAGGAATTTGCTAACAATTCGACTTCATTATAATATGAGTTTTGCATGATTTGTAAAGCCCTTGGCATAGTGCCTGGCATGTAGTAGGCACTCAATAAAACATAGCTATTTTTATTTTTACTTTTTAGTAAGTTAGTGGCAGAGTTGAAGCTATAACTCTCTTCTGACTCTTTTTTGAGTTGTTTTTAAAATACTACAGGGAAGTGCTTCTGTAAGTTGAAAGCGCCTGTGAGTTTCCTGGGGTTCTTATGAAAATGTAGACTGTGGTTCAGTAAGCTGGGTGTGGCCCGAGAGTCTGCATTTCTAACATGCTTCTAGTCGATGATGCTTCGTTTGCTGCAGGGAACACACTTTGAGCAGCAAGACCAGAAGAAATCCTGAAAACTGTTTGGTTCCAGCTCTCATTTTGAAAAAAATCTTTCCTCATTTGTTTGTTCTTTCAGCAGTGTTTTACTGAGCATCAGGCATTGATGTTAAAACTCTATACGCAAACACGTCCCTGCCCTGGATAGTGTGTAAGACACAGAAACAGAGGGGCAGTGGTGGCAGAGTGTGGGGAGGGCTGTGTTGGTGCAAAGGCAGAGCCTGGAGGAGCTTGTACACAGGTGCCCAGCCCTCCCTTTGGCGGTCGAGGGAAGTTCTTCCCGTAGGAGGAAGAGCAGCTGCCCAGGAGGAAGGGGGAGAATGAGGAGAGTGCAGAGTCCCAGCGTGGTGCTCTGAGGAGGAAGTGTTTCCTTGAGTCAAATACTGTGAGAAGACAAGAAAGAAAAAACAACTGAGACTTTCCAATGAGTCCCATGACCTGAGACATTTCCTCAGAGCGAGGGGGACAGAAGCCAGCTCGCAGTGGATAGAGGAGTGGTGAGGAGTGAGGAGATGAGATAGGGCTGGTTGACACTTGGAGGCATGGAGGTCGCTTCTCTAGGTGGTGGCAGGACTGGAAACAGAGCTGGGTGTGGTGACTCAGTTCTTTCTGACATCTTGTTCTATGTCCTTAAAAATTGGTAAGTGGCATATGGTATGAGGGACATCTATGTCCACAACGTTTAATTTCTTGACCATTGCTAGAAACTGAGAGTTTACTTTTTAATTTTAGACCAAGTCAGCAGAGGAAGTCAGCAGAGGTAAAGAGAAGCGAAAGTTAATTTTTATTTCACTGTATCAAGTAATGGCGTGGTTTTGGTTCTAGAAGTGCAGAATAACTTTGATGCTTTTGATATTTCAACTTGGAATGATGTGTGTTAACAGTGCTTTGTTCAGCTAAACTTAAGAGAAACCATTTTCATATCCACAGGAGTTGGGGAAGAGCTTCTGTCTGTTTTCACCACCCCTGCCCACCCCCAAACCCCAGGTGGATTTTATCTCCTGACCTTTTCTTGGGCAGTTTCTGGACAGAAGTGGCAGCAAAGCCACATTGCACTGGACCTTTTCTGGAAGCTTGGAGAGGGACAGAGCACTCAGTGACCAGAACTGTTGGGGAATCAGAGGGAGACTTTTATTGTTGTTGTCGTTTTTTAAAGATGGGAAAGACTTTTCCCCCAACATTTTAAATTGTGAAAAACTTCAGACACAGCAAAGTGGAAAGAATTTTACAGTGAATACTCATATACTCACCACCTAGATTCTGTTAACATTGCCCACCTGTCCATCATCACAGCATCTTATCTTTTTGATAAATTTTAATCGAAATTGCAAACATACGTGTACTTCCGCTAAGTACTTTAGCATGCGTTTCTTCAATGTACATTTGTAGTTATTTTTTTCTTTTAAAGTTAAATTTACATGCAATGAAATGCAGAGGTTGTGAGCCTGCATTTGCCAAGTTTTTGCAAGTGTATGTACTGGTGTAAACCAGACCCCCGCCAAGAGCCCTTGTGTCCTCTCTTGCTGGCCTCCACCCCCGCCCACCCCAGTTGCTCTTCTGCTTTTGTCCCACCGTGGATTAATTGTGCCTGTACTAGACCTTCGTGTAAACGGAGTCATACAATATATTCTCCTTTGTGTAAGCTTTTACTCAGCATCATGTTTTTGAGATTCATCCGTGTTGTTATGTGAATCAACAGTTCCTTTTTGTTGCTAAGTAGTATTTCGTTGTATGAATGCATTACACTTGTTTTTTCATTCTGCTATTAATGGACATGGGTAAAAGATGATATGAACATTCATGTATAAGACTTTGTGGGGACATACTTTTTTTTTTAAACTCTTGGTGGGTACCTATGAATAGAATTCTGTGTCGTAGGGTTATTAGGTTTGCAAAAAATTGGCAGTACTTTTTCCAAAGTGGGTTAGCATTTTATCCTCCTAACAAGTTTGATAGTCCTAGTTGGTCTTTATCACTTGGGAATGCTTTAATAATGAGGGAAGAAGCCAGTAGAGGAAGAGGGTTCCTCACCCATATTTGTAAGCTTTTATGTCTTACTAAGTATATTTACACATCTAGTCTGTTTAAAGCTCGATGGTATAGTAGGATGCAGTTTTTGATCATTAGTTCTGTTTGATACTCATTGCATGTTTGCATATGGTTAGATTGAATGTGTCCCCATCCTGGAAAGTTTCTATAAAAACTAAAGTCAGTTTGCTTGGTTTTGTTTTTCTTTTTCCAAAACAAGGTTTTTCTTCTAAAAGGAAGATCAGAAGAATTTAAGTTGTGCTGGGAGAGTTATGGGGGCAATTGACTAAATGTAGAAATTTACAAAATAAAACTGTTGAGCTAGAACCATCAATATCTCATATGTACAACATGCCCAACACGTGACCCACTGCTCTCATTTTAACACCTTCATTGCAAAGTTAACTACTTCATGGGTGAGATGAGGTTTGGTATAATTTTGAAACACCTTTGATTGATTCCTTCCCTGGATATGGCCACCTTTCCTCTTATTATTTATTTGGCTAATCCAGATATCCCATGACTAGGAGTTTTGCTTTTCCAGAGAGTTGAGAACTGGCTCTCTTGAGAACTTTGTACTGTCCATTCTGTAAAATGCAGAAGCTTTGGGATTTACACTTTAAAGAATTAGGGATTTATGCAGTCCTTATAAATAACTGTCCTTCATTTCCAAAAGCATGAAGTTATCACCAGGCAAGCGTGATACTCTTCTCATTAGAGATCAGGACTTTTTGTCAGCAAAATGACAGTGTTGTGGGGACTGTCCATCTCAGATGTGTGACAGTCCAACAAGAGGTTTATGCTTTGTGCCAAACAGGAGAAGTGATGCATAAATTGGGCACACCATAAATGAAATTTATTGCTTTTTTGCTATTTGATATTTTCAATTCCATCAATAGCTATTTTCCAAAATCTTGTTACTTTTATGTAATCTGAAAGTGAATTTAGCAAAGGCAGGAATGGCAGCGGCACAACAGACAGCATATTTAATTTACAGCAGCTCAGGAAAGGCCGGGCAAGGGCAAGGCGAAATGCCTTTAGTTATTTCTTGGGGAATTTGCCTTAAATTATGCTTGATCCAGGCAGCTGTGTGTGATTTGCCAGAACTAGCAACTCTAACTTTGGTTAATTTTTATTTCATGGCTTTGGCATTTGTTTCTGCCTCGTTTTTGTTTGTTTGTTGTTTTGCATTTTAAAAAAAAGACATCACTGACTTATTCATACATATTCATGCTGCACACTTTTTTGGGTTGCATTTTCACATCATTCCATGCTCCATGTAGCTTCTGGCTAGCAAGGAAGACAAGGACACGATCAAAATTGGAAAGGATGACGAGAATAATTTCCTGAGTGACCAGCGTTTGGAGCAGGGTAATGAGGTAGGAACGTGGCAGTTAACTCCTTATTCCACCCGCCCCACTCTGTGCCCAAGCCAGTCTTCCCAACTGGAGTGAGTCCAGTGGGTTTTCTGTTCATTCCTCCTACATCGAGTGCCTGCTGTGTGCCAGCGGAGAGCAAAAAGACTAGGTCTTTTACCTCTCGGAAGTTATAAACTGGGTGATAGAGCCAGTCATGAAACATGAAAACAGACATATAGTTGCAAATAAAAATGGGGTGGTTATAGGAGAATAACAAGCATTGGATGTTGGACCTGGCCAGATCTTTAGAGAGCTAATCCAACCCATTTATTTTATGCATTGGAAACTGAGGTCTGTGAGGGAAGGTGATTTTTCCAGGCACAAAGTAAGTTGGTGACAGAGTTGGGGCATGAACCCTTGTGTCTGGACTGCTGTGAAGTCCCAGATCATTTGACTGCAGTGTAAAGAGCTGCTGGTGGAACCAAGCTCCCCTTCCCAGGGGCCCTCTGCAGTCTCCTGATCTGGAACCCAGCTTCCTGTCATCTGGGCACTGTGATCATTTGACCCCCATCCACACAGAATGCTCTTCAGTCACATTCATGCTGAACATACGGAGCAGGCATTCTCCAAGGTTGAAAGAACCCCAAAGACTGGGAGGTGTAGGGGGATAGGATGCTACAGATTGGGCAGTTTAGGCTTTTAAGGTGTTCAAGGTCATGGAGTTGTGAATGGGAGATAATAAATCGTAGATAGTTTTGGAGAGCAAAGTAATTAAAAGTGACGTTTTAGAATCAGACCTCATTTTGAGTCTTGGCTTTGGCACCACCATCTCTGTGACCTTGGTTAACCATTACTTTACCTCTAAGCCTGAGTTTCCTCATCAATCAAGATAACAATATTTCCTTTTAAGATTGTTGTGTTATTTAAATAGAAAAGCATGTAATAAGTGGTCAGTAAAAGATAATGATTATTGTTTTTATTATTCTAGACTTTTCCTTCTTTGGAGGTTGCTTATTTGATGGATTTAATAACTAGATCTGTGGCAAACAAGACCCCATAAATAATAGCTCATTGGTGTGGGTCTTGTCTTCCATTTAAAAATCTTAATCATTTTACCAGTGTAGAGAGATGGGGGTGATGGCTAGTATGTATATCACCAGCAGTAATGAAGACAAGAGGAGTTATTTATAGACTGGTAGAAGAAATTTACAGCTTTGGATAGGGGAGAAAGAATGCTAATTGCAGCACCTTAAGACATGCCCAGCATAGGCTTTAACTAGATGCATCCTTGGTACCACTCCTCTGGGACCCTCAGTGACCCACAAAGGTGGATCTGTAAAGAACATCTCCATGGGAATTAGGAACTGTTCACCTTCCTAATGAGACAAATCAAAGCCATGTTAATTAGCATGTGTCTGTAAAGACTAAGTCGGCTTTCTGATATGTAACGAGGAGGATACACTGCAAGAATAATATAATAAATATCCACATCATTGTTAATGGCATGGGTTCTGTACTCTTCTTAGGAAGAAATTATAAGGAGTAGGCCATGGGGTGGGAGAACACACATCGGGTGTGTGAATAGACCTGTAGTGAGTAAGACACTTAACCTGAGCCAGTCATCTCATGTCATTCTCCTAACCACATTGGGAGGTAACATTACCATCCCCATTTTATAGATGAGGAAACCGAGGGTGAAGAGGAGTGATGTAAACATCTCTGTCCTCTTTCTAGAATGTCTCCCTGCATTAAAATGGGTGTGTGTGAACCTGCATGCCTGTGTTCCTCCCTCTCCCCATTCCTCCTCCTCCTCTCATTTTCTCTCTCTTACCCTGTGTCTCTATCCTTTCTCTCTCCTTCATGTACCTCCTTCCCCTCCTCCATGTTCCACTATTTGACCAAATACCTTTATTTGCAGATTATGGAGGATCGTTTCAAAGGGGGTTGCAAAAATGGATTTTTAAAGCACACAGATTCCAGTATATCAGACTACGATGGAGACCACAAATCTGGTTGCCCTGGAGACCAGAACCTGGAAGAAGGCGAGCTCATGAACCTGCATGCCCCTTTCGTCAATGAGAAGGCCACATTGTTACTGGAATCCAGGTAGACACGGGGCCCAGACATTGCTTTGTCTCTCTAGTTTAAGGGGAGAACAAACTCATTTTGCTAAATGGATTTAGATGATGATGCTGTGTAATTTACCTGAGAGAGCTCCTGAAATGGCCTGGAAGGAATCTTGCCAGTCATGCAATTAAGTAATTAGGCTGCCTGCTAGCGGCTGTGAGGGGACTTCAGCAGAGCCTCATGCAAGCCCATTATAAAGAGGAGAAAGAAAGCTTTCCTTGAGAATTATTCCTGGGAGCCCCAGAAAGGGCTGCCTTGCTGTCCGCAAGAGAAATCAGCCCTACTGAAATCTCTTCCAGTTTCTGCAATAGCTTTAAAAAATACCATTGTAGTTATGGCTCTGCTGTTTTATGTAGAGCTTAAATTAAAATTCTCTTCTTATTATATCTGCTGGGAGTCATTCCTATGTGAGGAAATACTACAGGTTGTTTTTCTTAAAATAAAAAAGGAGAAACAGTATGTTTGTATTTTTTTTAATTAATCTTTTAAGAGCTATTTCCCCCCACCCCACCCCTTTTATACTCTTTCTAGTCCATCCATAACAGCTGCTTGGGCTTTGGAGCCCAAAGAGCTGTGCCTTAATCTCTCAGTGCCTCAGTTCCTCTGACCAGTACTTAGGGTTGCTGTGAGGAGTAAGAAAAGAAATGTTAAAGAAAACTGGCTGGCATGTGATATGTGTTCAACAAAAGTTTTCAGTTCTCTTCCAGTATAGACAGAGAAATTAAACCAATGACTATTGCCCATGACTCTTGACAAGAGCCAGGAATGGTAGAATTTCTTAGATCCTCGATGAGCTAAGCCTTATGGACATTTCTTCAACTAAAAAGAGGATTGCAGCATTCTGTTTTTGTGAGCTCAGCGAGGCTAACCCCTCCTCAATCTCTGACATCTGTCTAACATTTTTCTAGCGTGAGTCCTCTGGGGAGACACGCTCAGTGGCTATTCTGGTTTATTATCACAGGATCACAGGTAGTTAGGTGACCATAGTCGGTGCTTGAGCAATAGAGGATTTCCTAAACATCAAGGTCGTAAACTTTACGTCAGAGTTAAAAGATAGCACTTTCTTTCTGAGGGCCATGGAGGAATGCACTTGGGTGAGGCGAGCCGGGGAGAGTACCATGGGCTGCGGTGGGAGTGTGGTGATTGGGGCGTGGGCAGGGGATATGCTCCCTTCTGGCAGACAGGCCCTTTTCAGCCCCAACTGATGGTTGCGAGTCAGAAGGGTCTGGGTCTTTGTTCTGCCACTCTGCTGCGTGGTCCTGAGTCTTAAGGAGCCCATTCCTTCACCTGTACAGTGGGGGTTAGTAACAGTCCTTACCTCACAGTCTTATTGTGAGGATTTGGTGTAATTCAAGGATTTGGCACATAGTAAATACTTAGTAAATGTCAGTTCCTTTCCCCTTACACCTTCTACATGGCAGAAATGCTCCGGAAGGGTATATATACAATATTTGGGCCTCTAAGAAGACCCCTGGGCTCAACTATTCCAAAGGTCCTGATAATGGCAGTAGCTTAATGAATCTGCTATTCAGATTTCTAACAAATTAACGCTTGAAATGTTTTATTTAATAGCACCACCACTTTAGTGTATCATAATGGCCTCTTTCACTACTGTTTACTATCCATTTGTAAAGTCTTTTTCCTGGGTTTTATTGTGTGTTGTTTGGTGGTAAGTGATGGTCCTCCTTTGGCTAGCTGAATAACAATTGTCATTATTTTTTATCTATATTAAAGCAGGAGAGGAAAGGAAAATTTAGTTTAATATCCCCCGAAGCTTGAAATACCAGAAATATTTTAAAAGTCTGGGTTTACTACAGTTTAAGATGGTTTATGTAACTTAGATGATCCTATATTAGAAGTGAAAAATGTGCATACGTTTAAATTTTGTGAACATTTTTATTTTTTTATCCCATTTCTGTATACCTGCTATAGCTATTTGAGTTGAATTGACTGTGCCCCAATCTAGATAACAGACATGCAGAGGGCCATATCCCTGCCCTCAGAGGGCTCACTGGGAAGACAACACCAGGGGCCATGTCATTGCCAGCGGGAGCAAAGATCCCAGGACGGGAAGGTTGGGTATGTTAAAGCAGTTGGTAGAGTCTGGTCTATTACACGAGGCTTCTTGAAGTAAGGCAGGTAGGAGAAACTGCAGGGAGAAGGAAAAGAGCTAACACTGACGAGGGCCGTTCTGTGCCCCTTTCTCTACGGGCACCACCTCATCTAGACCCGCAGCTCCTTCTCCCAGGAGTTAGCAGCAGCTTCCAGACCTGGCTCTGCCTCTGGGCTTGCCCCTCCAGGCCCTTTTCCCATAATTTTCTGTCTTAATGTCATACCTTTCTCTTCTTTTCTTAAGAACCTGTTTTCTTCCTTTATTTTTCAGATGATTTAAACATACTTAATTTAAAATCTTTTTCAGATTGATTATTGTTTCTATTTCCTCAAGTGTGAATTCTGTCATTCGTTGGATTGTTGTCTTTTTTAATAGAGGATTTTGGTTGTGAGTTTGGTTTGCCTGTGCCAATAGCCTGGTGCTGCTCCACCCTTACTCTGGCCTGGTGGTGATTTTGAAGTTGCCTCAATTCGGCCCTCTAGAGTCTTACTTTAGGCCCATGAAATCTGTGTGGTTCCTCTTCCTCCATGGGGGTTGAATTTCTGGCTCTGCTGCTTCCTGCAAATGCCGCCCATTCCAGCGTCTTTCTCATGGCTGTGGGTTTCCTCCTCTGTTTCTGATCTTTGGATATTTTTTTCTTGATTTTGAGCCCTATAGTGTACCTTAAAAACTTTGTTATGTATATCTTGCTGTCATTTTTTGTCATTAGAGCAGTGTGAGAGGAGCGTCTTGATGGGAAATCTCTCCATTCGTTCTTTACACAACAGCAGCCACAGTCACCTTTGCGAAGCACACCTGTGACCAGGCCACTCCATCTCAGGGCCTTTCAGTGGCCCTCCTTTCCTTAACGTGGTGTGTAAGACTCTTCATTTCTCCCTGCCTAGCTTTCTAGCCTCACCTCCTTATTTGCCACCTGACTCTGTTCCTGTTGTTTGCCATGCTTAGGCTCTTCCATCACCTCTCCCCTTGGCTAGCTTCTCTTTGATGTCAGAAGCCCTCTTCTGACATTCTCCTTGCCTCCCCAGCTGGACACTCTGGGATAGTCACTCTGTAACCCTCGTGATTTGTTTATATATCTGTTTCTAAAACCAATCGAAGGCAGTTTTCTCTCCCTGGTGCCCACGATAGTGCCTGGTACAAGAAGACAAAAGGGAGTCCTCCTAAACTACGCTACCCTGGGCACCATACCAAGTGTTTTACATGCTGGCTTAGTTTTAGTCCCTGGAAAGCAGAGCCTGAGATACGGACTTGAGTACAAGTGATTTATTTGGAATGTGACATCAGGCAACAGGAAGGAGGGCTCAGGGAGAGGAAGATAGCAATGAAAACAAAGCCATTGAGGGTCTAGTATTGATCTGGTTACTGCGGTGGGCAGCTGGGCCTCAATCCTGCTGGGCACCCTCAGAGAGCTGTAGAGACTGAGCCTGTGTTGTTCCCCTGAAGGGTGGGAGACTGGGACATTTGCCCACCAGCTCTCTTCCTCCACTGGTTGAGGGTTTCCCCCAGAAATATAAACTGTTTGACACTTGACACTGTCTTACTGGCTGGGTCAGAGAGCTCTGGAAAAAGCCTCAAGGCAGTAGAAATGTAGAGGGTGCATAAGGTGGGACTGTCTGTGTCTACACGAACTGCCAACACAGCTGCAGGTGAAATCAGAGGTGGGCCAAGGGCATGTGGCAAGGGATATGAAAAGCATCTGCTCTCTATACACCACCTTGTTTAATCCTCATGACTGGACTGGGCGCAGTGGCTCATGCCTGTAATACTAGCACTTTGGGAGGCTGAGGTGGGAGGATTGCTTGAGGCCAGGAGTTCAAGATCAGCCTGAGCAACACAGTGAGACTCTGTCTTTTAAAAAAAAAAGAAATTAGCCAGGTGTTGTGGTGTGTACCTGTAGTTTCAGCTATTTGGGAGGCTGAGGTGGAAGGATCGCTTGAGACCAGGAGTTCGAGGCTGCAGAGAGCTGTGATCATGGCACTGCACTCCTGGGTGACAGAGTGAGACCCCATCTCTAAATTAAAAAAAAAAAATCCAATGGCTGTCTTGTGGAGGAAGACTCATCTTCCTTTCAAAGAATTGCAGAGTTAGAATTTGGAGCCATTTTTCTTTGCCATCAAAGCCAGTGCCCTTTTTACTGTGCTTGTATACCAGCTTCCCTTCATTAACATCTATTTATGAGCATCCATTGTGTGCTAAGATGGATCAGGTCATCGATGGACCAGCCAGGTTGGCTAGATTCATCTAAAGCCATACTTACTCCTGAATGAAGAGATAGGACCATGGCCGTAGTGGGGCTGGAGGACCCATGATTGTCTTGGACACTTTTTGATTCTGCTTGCTCCTACCCAGGCCCAGCCTGCCCACTCACTAGCTCTGTGCCTCCTGTCTTCTTGCCCATGCAATAAACGTGGCAGTACCTGCCTTCTTTGGTTGTCATGAGGTTACAAGGGATAAAATACTTAGTGTGATTGCTGGCATGTTGCTGGTACACACTATGTTTAGTTTGGGTGGAATCTGAGCAAGGGGACAAGGCTGTGGCAGAAAGCTTAATTCTCCTACCTCTTCCCTTTTGGAAAAACAGACCAGACGTTCTGAAAGTGCTACGTGAACTGCTTCTGGAACGAATATGCTTGACAGAGCAGGAAGTTTCTGGAGAACGCCTTGATGGTAAAATTGAGAAGACGCTTAAGCAAATAGCTGTTCAGCTAAGAGGCGAACTTGGACAATTTGTCCAAGCCAACTCATTTTCCAAGTCACATGATGACCTGAAGCCACCGTGGGAGGCCCAGCTGGTAAAGGCGGGTGAAGCGTCCACAGGGGAGCTGAAAGATGCCTCAGTGCAGACTGTGGCTGTGGAGGGCGACCCGCTGGGATTCAGACACGAAGGAAAGAGAGAGGCTTGGGGAGAGAAGCCAAGCGACGGCGCATTCAGTGCTGAGCATCAGCCGGAGAACTCGTGCAGGCCTGGGCTGCAGGCCACTTCCCGCCCCTTCCTCGGTGGGACTGACAGAGTAAGTTTTTCCAGATATTAATTGTGTATTTATACAAACAAAAAACTTTAAAAATTACCTCTGATCTCATCACTTTTTTCCATTTATATGAAGAGAAGATATGGTGTGTCCCTTGGCTTGCACTCACCCTGGCCTCCGCCTAGAGGTGTTGTCTCCTGAACCTTCTCCTCACTCCCAGCCCCCTTTTTTCCCTCCCCCATGCGGCCTATCTAATTTATCTATATATCGTGATATTTATGTGTTTTCCTTAGAAAATACACGTGCGGGTTCCTGTTTATACGTCCATCTGTAGCTTTCTCTTTCACGTTATGAGGAGCAGCTTTCCTTGTAATGGCCGCGTATGAGTCCATTGTGGCAGTGTGCCAAAATTTATACAGTTTTCATCTATCGATGGACATTTGCTTTTGCAGGTTGCAGTAAAATTGTAACAACCTGGCTTTAGAGGTAGGGATGAGAACCGGGGTTTTATTTTGTGCAGACTTTGTGTAGGAGAGGTGATTTTCTGAGGGCTTTCTCTATATTCTGTTATCTTACAACCCTTGATGAGGAAAGCTAGATGAGGAAGCCAGATCCCACATGCTCATGGTTGGCCGGCGGTTAAGGGGCTGCATTGGGATTCCCACTGTGCCTCCCCACAGCCACACCCTTTCCCTAGATCAAGCTACCTCCCAGCTGTGGTAGCACAAAATGGCAGAGTCTGGTTTTGTTGGCTGAATATCTGCATATTGATTTTCCACTGGTCTAGGTACTTTATCAGAGGTTCTTCACAAATACCATTAAATATGCCAGATTGTTAAAAGGCAGACTCTCTTAGCAATGTTTGGTTGGACCTTTACTAAAATCCTCTTGGGGGTAGGGCTTGGGGTTGAGAATCCCCACAGCAGGGAGATGTGTTCTAGTAGAGGAGGAAATGGGTCATGTTTCTGACAGAGCTCCAGTGTCGGCTGTTGGTGTGCTCGTTTCTGATGGGTGTTTTGTATCTGAGAAATCAACTGTACACATTGCTTTATAGCATCAGAATGGAGAATTAAGTTTATTTTCTGACCACTAAATTACTGCTTTTGTGCATACCAAAGAGAGTTAGATGTATCATTAGCAAAATTGCTTTTGATTGTTTTAAATTATGCACCAAAACTGTAATTTCTAGAAAAGGGTTTTCTAAAGATATCAGAGACCAAAAAAAAAAAAAAAAAGACACTGTCATTATATTAATGGTACTCGAAATGCAAATTTGTGCAGTTTGGCTAGAATAGAAATGCTTTCATCTGCCCCAGCTCCTTCAGTTTGTACCTATATATTAGGAAAACTAGATGTTTTTTGTTGTTTTTTTTGTTTGTGTTTTTCTATTCTGTGGGAGATACCATTCTATGTTCAGGATAATTGGAGAATTGAACAGACTTAATCTCTCCAAATATATTTAAAATTTTTTTTTTTTAGTTTTTTTTTTTTGAGATAGGGGTTCACTCTATCACCTAAGCTAGAGCACAATGGCATTGTCACAGCTCACAGCAACCTCAAACTCCTGGGCTCAAGCGATCCTCCTGCCTCAGCCTTCCGAGTAGCTGGGACTACAGGTGTGAGCTACCACACCTGGTCTGTATGAAGTTTGAACACATGCACAAAATATTACGCACATTTATGGATATGTATGCTTGTAGTAATAGAATAAAAATATGAATGGAAATAAC